CCTTTTTTTAGGGGGTATGTTATTTGCCCAAAATCCGTTTTATCTTGGCAAGTACTAGCCCCGCCCACCCACCCTCAATTTTTTTGGAAGGTATGTGATTTGCCAAAATCTGTCTTATCTTCATGGAAATTAGCCCCACCCACCACCGCTCTTCTCATTTTAACGATCAGTTTTATTTCTGTTCATTAAAAAATCATTCATTTCATTCAAAACAGATAAAAGCAATCACTGAAATGGAGACAGGGTGGGTGGGCGGGGCTAATTATTTTCTTCCTTCGAGTGGGAATTGAAAATAATAGAATCAAGAATGTAAAAAAAGTAAAAAATAAGCTTTCATCCTACTTTTTTTTGTTATATTATGGCGGATTAGAAATCTCGCGAAAATTCGGATTGAAAATGAATTTCAAATGTCTTTGGCTAATTTTCTAAAATGGTTGCAAATTGGTCGAAAATTTCAAGTGTCAAAATCAATCATTCTAATAAAATGCTAGCCCCGCCCACCCGTCCTCTTTTTTTGGGGGGTATGTTATTTGGTAAAATCAGTTTTATCTTGGCAACTACTAGCCCCGCCCACCCACCCTCTATTTATTTAGAAGGTATGTGATTTGCCAAAATCTGTCTTATCTTAGCAGAAATTATCCCCACCCACCCCCGCTCTTCTCATTTTAACGATCAGTTTTATTTCTGTTCATTAAAAAATCATTCATTTCATGAAGAACAGATAAAATGAATCACTGAAATAGAGATAGGGTGGGTGGGCGGGGCTAATTATGTTCTTCTGTCGAGTGGGGGTGAAAAATAATAGAATCAAGAATGTAAAAGAAGTAAAAAATAAGCGTTAATCCTATTTTTTTAGTTATATTATGGCGGATTAGAAATCTCACGAAAATTCGGATTGAAAATGAATTTCAAATGTCTTTGGCTAATTTTCGAAAATGGTTGAAAAATGGTCGAAAATTTCAAGTGTCAAAATCCGTCACATCTAATAAAATACTAGCCCCGCCCACCCGCCCTCTTTTTTTAGGGGGTATGTTATTTGCCAAAATCAGTTTTATCTTGCCAAGCACTAGCCCCGCCCACCCACCCTCTATTTTTTTGGAAGGTATGTGATTTGCCAAAATCTGTCTTATCTTAGCAGAAATTAGCCCCACCCACCTCCGCTCTTCTCATATTAACGATCAGTTTATTTCTGTTCATTAAAACATTATTCATTTCATTCAAAACAAATAAAAGCAATCACTGAAATGGGGACAGGGTGGGTGGGCGGGGTTAATTATTTTCTTCCTTCGAGTGGGAATGGAAAATAATAGAATCAAGAATGTAAGAAAAGTAAAAAATAAGCGTTCATCCTATTTTTTTTTTATTATATTATGGCGGATTAGAAATGTCGCGAAAATTCGGATTGAGAATGAATTTCAAATGTTTTTAGCTAATTTTCGAAAATGGTTGAAAAATGGTCGAAAATTTCAAGTGTCAAAATTAGTCATATCTAATAAAATGCTAGCCCCGCCCACCCACCCTCTTTTTTGGGGAGTATGTTATTTGCCAAAATCCGTTTTTTCTTGACAAGTGCTAGCCCCGCCCACCCACCCTCTATTTTTTTGGAAGGTATGTGATTTGCCAAAATCTGTTTTATCTTAGCAGAAACTAGCCCCACCCACCCCCGCTCTTCTCATTTTAACGACTAATTTTATTTCTGTTCAGTGATAGATCATTCATTTAATTAAGAACACTTGAAGCAATCACTGAAATGGAGACAGGGTGGGTGGGCGGGGCTAATTATCTTCTTCCGTCTAATGGGAATGGAAAATTATAGAATCTAGAATGTGAAAAAAGTAAAAAATTATACTATCGGGAATTAGAAATCTCGCGAAAATTAGGCTTGAAAATAAATTTCAAATGTCCTTTGGTAATTTTCGAAAATGGTTGAAAAATGGGTGAAAATATCAAAAATGTCAAAATCAGTCTGATCCTGATAAAATTTCCGATTAGTCTAATTATTTTTTCAGTCAATTTAACCACCCGTCGGTCTGACAACGAATGAAAAATTCATCACAAACGAGATTGGGGTGGGTGGGTGGGGCTTATTTTTTGACCTTTTTTTCTTAACATTTACAGTTTTCTTTCAATAACACGATACAACATTTATTCCAGTGAAAGAAGGATTTTGTAAGTACGCTCCGCCCTCGATCGGACAACAAATAAACAATTCATCACAATTGAGGTTGGGGCGGGTGGGAGGGGCTTATTTTAGGTTTTTTCTCAACATATATAATTTTCTTTCAACAACATGATACTTACAAACATGTTTTACGTGGTAGTTTCGTGTAAGCTCCGCCCCGGCTCACGACGAATAAAAAGTCATCACAACTGAGATGAGGGTGGGTGGGCGGGGTTTAAGTAACCATGCTGTTCGAAGAAAATTAAATCAATTAAGTAAAAAAGAAAGCTAAAAGTTAAGTCTTGATCTCAATTGTTACGAATTTTTCGTTCGTTCTCAGTCTGAAACGCGGAGCAAAATTTATATTTCCCGACAAAAATGTACCATTTTAAACATATGTTGATGACATGCTTCTACAGGTGTGGTTCATGAAGCCTACCTATATTATTTTCAGAATTTCTGTTCTTTTACCTTCATAAATTTGAAAAATGACAAAATGCTGTTAGCAAATTTAACCACTGCGAAAGTGTGTACCTGAGCATGAGATTAAAGCTGCTTAACTAGACCTCCCAATACTGAGAAGGCAGGATTTTGAAAATTGTACAACTGCAGATGTCCAAGTCGGTATGTTTCCATATTTTGGGTTCAGTCTCAACCCACCAAGTACTTTTAATATAAATCAACTGTCAGCTCCTTTATGAGTTAATCCTGGAAAGATTTTGGCGTTGGGTTGATTTACAATGTTGGGGGTACCATTCATTGGCATAACCGTTACCTCGAGATTACTTTCTTAGGACAACTGCTACCTGATAAGATAACTCCGACTCTTATAATTACTTTGCGCCTCTTGACGTAAAAGGGCAGATAAGTGTAAAACAAAGTTCTCCGAAGCACTTGAAACTGAAACAAAAACCATATGGTAAGGATTCCCACACCTACACGTAGTAGTACGAGTTAGTAGTGAAGTATGTTAAGATATTGCTACAATTAACAATTGCCTTTCGAGCTATCACGCCATGTAAAATACTCCCGTTAATACTAAAAATATAAACATAGCTGGGGGTTAGTATCTCACGTGGAATATCTAATTTACAAACGTAGTTAACTCGACAATTTATATTGTGACTGAAAACGCAACTTCGTAATTTCATTGCGTGATTACTCCTGTAACAAGAACACGTTCGCTATTTATGACGCTATAGATAAGAAAATCGAACGTATCTTCAAGTCGAGCGTCGAAAATCGTCAAAGGTATGTAAATTTTGCTTTAGTTAGAGCAATTATTTGGGGTGAGAAGAAAGGATGACCTAAGCAAACAGGTACATGTAGTGAGAACGTCCGTAATTTGCCAGCATAAAGGTAAATTTCCCTGTCTGGAGCCAGTTGGCGCAGTATTTGGTACAATGATCCGATTGTTCGGAGAGTTCCCATGTCACTTACAGGGAACACATTATTCTCACGCGAATGATCCTTCTCTGTGATCTTTTCCTATCGGGACGTGCAGATGACTCTTACTTTGATAACACTATATTCAGATTTCAGAGCTGTCTTCTCCGCAAGATTACCGCCTGCGAATTCAACACATTCTATTCTTATCGCGAAACACGCGTTTCTATAACAAATATTTTCGTAGGGCAACACCCTTTACCCCGAAATAGAACTTCGTGGTTATGCCCCCTTTTAAAACACGTGGCCCACATTTTTAGGACTAAATCAATTTTTTATTTCTTGGTTTCGCTTCCAGGGTGAGTAATTTACACCACACTGGATATATCTGGTTATCATGACAGACGATAAAAACCAAGTTTAATGACATGTTAAATAGTATACAGTGTTGGCGCCCAATGTGGGGGCGTGCACTAAGACTAAGTCTCCTCACAAAAGAGAAAAACAACAAGAACAATAATAATTTTGTCAGTACCTTACTCATGTCAGTAAGGTCATAACTAAGGTGATTGTATCATTCCAGGTAAAAATTTTAATCTGTCGCCTATCTTAATACGATCAAACTAGCCCCAGGTCCACATCAGTGGTTGTTCGATCATAACAACATAATTATAATTGACAATCAACTCATTAGGATTATTTATGTGTTATTGAAAAAACAAAACAATGACGCCATACGTTCCAGTTTTGTATGAACTGATATAACGACACAAACAAAACCCATATAAAATGCGAATTTGTAAATAAGTGAAATTATCGCTATAAATACGTTTCAGTAAAGTAGTAACGGATGAATGATAATTTTAAGAAAGTGTTGTTTATTGCATTCTTCGAACACAAACACAGTTTTATTATTTTTCTATTAACAATGCAAAGCAGGTACGATCAGTTAGTTACGTAATAGAAAAGCTCGATGAGACTTACCCCCACCACTCCTAGGCGCCACATTTACTTAACTTAAGACACTTGATTAAAAAATGATTAAAATTTATAAACACGGCACGTTCTTTTCTCGTAAAAAATAAGTTAGCGTTGTAATACTTTATGAATATATTATACGAAGTACAAAAAAAATACAAACTTTTAAGAAGCATGTAACAATGGCTAAGAAAAAAGTACAGTGTGTTTAAGCTTAAAAGAATTTCAGGTTCCGATTGTGCTTTCGAATCGATTTGAAGCCGCTTTTGAAGCCAATACGAGTTCGTCCGGTTACCTTTTCATTTCCAAAAATTAGGAAAGGGTATTAAAGTAAAAATTCTTATTCCCAGGCGCCCCTCCAGCCTTGATGTTGTTTTGGCGCCCTTGCCCTAACCCATGGCGGTCTATAGGGTGTAATCCCCACCATCGAAGTTAGTGTCGTGGGGATAGGCAATTGTAGAATAAAGACTGAGCTAGACTTCGTTCGCTTCAAGTCTGGTTTGAGTGTTGTGAGTGCACGTTTGACGTGCTCCTCTGTGTGCTTGTGTTTGTTTGTGTCAAGTTTAAGAACAATAAGGATAATAATTAGTAATACATAGACACCATGTGGGAATCTATAACTACGGATTCTTGTGAAGTGTGCCAGTGTTCTCCAAGGTAATTGATTGTCACTCGAGTCTTCACGGATTACCCCTTTTTTCCCGCAATGTACCCCAAAACCAACCATTCAAAAATTACGAAAGTTTCGATTTTTACAAAGCTCGAAAATCGTTTTTTCGGCAGCCGAGGTGGTGCGTCAAATCGTAAATTTCCTTCCAACTAAATTTACGTGTACAATGAATAAGTAAACGTTTTTGTTTTGGGTGATAAACATTGCAAGGACACTCAAAATTAAATATTGCATCGACTGGTGAAAGAAATGAGCGCGAAAAACTGCGGTTCTTGTCAGATTATTGGAGACAGGGTCGGAGCCGCCCGTTCTGTCATTAACACTAAATTTGCAAGTTCTACCAAGGTCGGCAACGTTATTCGCGCATATTTACTTCTTTTATTTTTTAAGTCTCGCTTTTCGGCAAAAAGTAATAGACGTTTTTCGGTGTTTACAAGTTTATATATAGCGAGGTCCACGACTTCGAAAAAGGTGCACACGCTAATTAAAAATAATTATTGTTTTGCCCTTTGATGAAATTTTCCCTTCCGACACTTATGTATTTTTTGTTCCAGATCCAAGCGAGCGGAAAAACCTTGCCTGGACAAAGAGAACATCGCCCGGCCTCTCAGTCCTGCCAAAAACGAAGACCTGTCATTTTACGCAAGTTCGAGTCCTCCTAAAGCCGTTTGTGCCGGTACTTCGCCTAATCACTGCAACCACAACCTAATCACTCGCCGCCCTCTCGAAGACCATGATCCCAATTCCAGCGATTCAGGTTACCACACCAACTACCGCAGCGACAACGGCAAATTTTCGTCTTACGCTTCGCCATGCCGCGGATCTTTTGAATCCGCGTCCATCGGGTCCATGGAGGACGAATTCTTCGAAGATTTTTCCTACATCGAGCCTCTCGAAGATAATTTGCCTCAGGACTTCAACAAGCTCATAAACGGCCCGATTGCGTTTCACAGCAAGAACAAAGAGACCACCGCGACTAAGTCGACCTCGCCGAAGGATCTGGTCATCCGGCCCTTGTTTCGGCGGGCGCTGTCTTTCCAAAACGAAAAATCCCTCCCTGCGAGCAGCAAAGCGAGATCTTGTCTATTTACGGAGTCACGTCCATTCAAACGACCAGAACCGCCTCAGGAATTTGAAAATCCGACGAACACGAAGAAACAGAAGGTGGATGATGATCAAGAAATTCCGTCGGTTCCGTGGGTGCAAAGACCTATTTTGAAACGCGCGTATTCCGCGACGGAAGAGAGTATTATGTGTGCCGTACAGAAGTCGTCAGTGGAGCCGGACCTTATCGGGGACTTTAGCAAAACGTTTTGTCTGCCGTTGACGCAAGGACGTCATCAGGATCTGAAATCTATAACGCCGGCGACGCTAGCCAGGTTAATCCGGGGGGACTACAACGGGAATATCTCGTCGTTCAAAGTTATAGATTGTCGGTATCCTTATGAGTACGACGGCGGTCACATCGAAGGTGCCGTTAACGTCTACACCAAGGACCAATGCATGGAACTCTTGAACAATTTCAACACAGCAGCGAACGAGCATATGAAGAGAAGTAACATCCTGATCTTCCATTGCGAGTTTTCGAGCGAACGTGGGCCTAATTTGTAAGTTTGGTAGTGAGGTTTTTCATCCAGGGTGCTAATCTTGTTTGGAATTTCAGGTATAGGTATTTACGGGAGCAAGATCGACAGATCAACCAAGACGTATACCCGTCTCTTCATTACCCGGAAGTTTATTTGTTGGAAGGGGGTTACAAAGACTTCTTCGAACAATTTGCAAATTTATGCGTACCTATCTCTTATACGGAAATGCTGCATCCTGAACACGAAACGGAGTTGCGGTATTTCAGGCAAAAGTCGAAAACCTGGAATGCAGATTCCCGCCGGCGTCAGCCTCGAACTAACCTCTTTAAGAGGCTCGGAATCTAGATAATAGAAACCCCAGTGCCAAAACTTGTAAAATAGTACAAAACGATACGAGTGCGTGTATGGCCAAATGATATGTACAAAGTAATACGCTATATTTGTCGGTTGAAGACTAAGTCTTCGTTATGTATAACACGATGTATATAAGAGAGTACCTACATAGCTTGCTCCAGATTCATACAATGAGATGAGCTCTTTCCTTTGCAATGCTAAACCACCAAAGTTTCTTTTTGTTAATTTTTAACAGTCGACTTTAATGGATCTACCGATCCTTTTTTTTTTAATTTATTTTTTATGTGCAATTTGATCAGCAATAACGATGTGATGTTGCATTCCTTTACCAGTTCATATGCTTTTTCGCTGTTTGTGCTGGTGTTTGTTTGCAGATTTTTCGTTCATTTTATTAGTTAGTTAGTACGATTTAAGCGTCAGTATTGTTTATTTGTATCCTTCAGCATATCGAGATGTGTTCGGAAGCAACTGTTGGGAACTTTTTTACTAAATAATTGTGATTTGTTCACCCTTTGACAGACTGATGTTTCCCCAACCGTTGCACCATAGATTTTAAGAGTGATACTTAATATTATAGATCTGTATATTTTAATATTTTTTTAACTTATAAATAAATTTTTGTTCTATGGAAGGAAATTTTCTTTTTCTTTAGTAAAATAACCGTTTGTGTTAAACTAATTTCATTGATAATCGTTATTTAAACGTTTTATTGCCGTGGCGCCATCTAGCTCTCGGAAGCAAAAGCTGCACAATTATAAAATTAGTTTCCAATTAAAAAAAAATCATGCTCTTTGGATACAAACAATATCGGTTATAACTGTACATTGCGTCTTAGTTTCATTTTTTTTTTGTGTTAATCTTTAATGTGTTGTGTCGCCATCTACCTGTCATAACGTATTGCACGCTTTATCCTCATCCCGCGGAAGTTATTGACAGTTGTTACGTAACAGCGCAACCCAGTCATCTCCCGCTAGATGTCACGCAAAAAACCGGTTTTGCTATATAGTGATCTAAGGTCACTATTTACCGGCGTGTGTTGATTCTGTCATATTCCGAGTGTGACCTGTGTTGTCTTCTGGAATTTTCCGTGCAATTTGGTAAGTTCTTAGTGATAAGAAGCTTCAACAATTTGCTATTTAGATCTCTGGAGACATTTTTCCAATTTCCAACCCCAACCCGTCACAAACTAAAATTTTTCAGCCAAATGTTTGCGCTTAGAAGACCCCTATTTTCAAGTCGTTTTTTCTCTTCTGTAGCGAAAAACATGGAAAAACACTGCGTCGTTCCAGACGTAGTTGATGTGGCACCGGAAGTAGTTGCCGAGGTAAGTAGTGGAAATGTGAAATTTGATAACCTAAAGAACCATCTTAGGTGTCCTACCCCAGTGGAGTCAAGGTTGACCTTGGTAATGAGTTGACACCGACGCAAGTGAAGGATATACCGTCTGTGAAATGGAACGCAGATAATAACGCCGTCTACACCCTTTGCATGACTGGTAACTAATTTTTGTATTTTTGTAATCTGTGCCAACTTTAACCTTCAAGATGTCCAAGCAAAATTTTTGAGGTTAAGGTTTGACAAGCTCCAAACATCCTACTACACGTTTCTAATGGGTTTTAACACCTAATTAGCAATGAAGAAACCATTAACAGATCAAAACTTGTTCAGTAATTTACAACTGTCTTTCAACAAAACCATTAGTAAAAATGAAAGAGTATAAGTGATACTAATGTGCTTTGAAGATGTGAAAATTGTGTGCAATAAGTCATAAAACCAATTAGAGGCTTTGTCATCACCTATTGATTAATACATCTTCAGACCCAGATGCCCCCAGCCGCCAGGACCCCAAGTTCCGAGAATGGCACCACTGGCTAGTCGGGAACATTCCTGGTGGCAACGTTGACCAAGGCGAGATCCTTTCCGCTTACGTTGGTTCAGGGCCCCCGAAGGGTACAGGGTTGCATCGCTACGTCTTCCTGATTTACAAGCAAAATGGCAAGATTAACTTTGACGAGAAGCGTTTGCCTAACAAGTATGTCAATTGCAACACGTATGATAATAATTTCGTTTGATTGACGCATTTCTAGTTCTGGAGATGGTCGTGGCGGTTTCTCTATCAGAAAATTCGCTGAGAAATACAAGCTAGGGCAGCCGATTGCTGGTAATCTGTACCAAGCTCAATGGGATGACTATGTCCCTCTTTTGTACAAACAATTGGGAGGTTAAACTTGCGTATAGACTGATGTTTCCATGTTTTTGATTTGATGTTTTGTTCAATTTTGAGTTTTCCGAATAAATTTCTTCGTTCTAGAATGGTTTTGTTGTAGTGTACAGTGAACATTTATATAAAAACCGAAGCTATTTTAATCTGGCTTGTAAAACTTAGGAATGGTACGTCGGCACGAGCTGTGGGTAAGATATTATTTTGTACAAACTGAGCATGCAAGTCTTAACAGGTTGCACAAGTTAACCGGTGCTTAGTCAAAAGTGTTCAAACACTGGTCAAGTTTCAAGTTATTAAAAACAGTAAAATCTAATCACCTGCGAATGCCGTTTCCACTAAGACATGTTCATGAACACTTTAAACAACATTGAACTAACACTTCACTCATGAAAGAACATTAATACTTCTTTTATTAACTAACATGCATGAACTCGTCGTCAACGATTAAGTTTCAAGCTGTCAAGTTTGAGGTGACGTCATCATGACATCATGTGAGTTGTTGAAAATTGAATGGAACATCAAAAATTTTCATGTTCAACTTGTTAATAAAAATGATGTGTGTTTAAATTTTTGTGGAAATTTTTATTTTTAAACCGAAATTAATGACTGTTAGTTTTTAGCGAGTGCCTGCAGATGGCACCTCGCGATATTTCTAGAGTTACTGGTGGTAAACTTAAAGAAATATGTGCTATTTTTGTGGTTCTTGTTTTTTTAAGTGACTGATTATTTGTCAAGTTACAGTTGAAAGGGTATTTTTAAGGAACTCACCAGTGCGAAGGTATGTAAAATTGTCTTACTAATGTTTTACAGCAATAAGTAAAAAATTCTGGACTCTGTATGGATTCAGTGCAAATGTCAATATAACTTATAATTTTCCACTAAGCAGAAATTACTATATTTTATTTGTAGTTAATTACTTTAAACGTTAAGTGGCTATCAAACTCCATGACTAATTAGGTTAAGATTATTTTAAATGTTGATATTTAATATAACTTTTAATGACACACATTACTGATTAATAACTAATTGTATTAGCATTTATTGTACAAATAATGCTGTTTTTTAATGAAATGTGTTCATGCATTGCTACAAAAGTGCATACAGGTTTAAGAATGTCTGTCATAAGTAATAGAAAATTGTAGGGTACCTTATTATTAGGCGTTATGCTACATAAAGCTCCTTTATTTTTGTTAATTGACGTTTCTTCTATAATTTGAACCTTCGATAGATAGTGCAACTGGTACATGTTCTCAAGAATTAATACCATTTTTTTACCATTTTAACGAGTATTGTAGCTTTGACACTAATGAAAAGGTTGCTCTATACGGACTATTTTCATAATGTGCCTAAGGTTTTGTCTTTTAAATAAAAAAGACACTTTTTACATATATTTCAGCAACAGTAGTATGGTCAAAACAAGAAAAATTTTGACTTGACAGATGATTATGGTAAATAAAAAAAAATCAATTAGTAGATTAAAGTTGTGTATTGTATCAGGGTTTTAAATTATCTTCACATTCAACCTCAGAATAATAAAGAAAATAACAAACTCAAGTGTCACTACTTTATGGATATCAGATCGTCTTGTTTACCTACATTTTCACTGATCCCTGTTTCATTTTTAATATGTAAAAATAAATTACTACAAATGCTATGTTTTTTAGAAGAACTTTCAACCATATGCGTACATATCGCAAACCACCTGGTTACTGAAGATCTGTGGTAACCCTATATACCTAACAGGTATCAAATTGCGAACCGTTTAAACTTAAACGCCTCAAAATTTTCCCACACGCATTCAAATAAACGAAAAATATTAAAAATAACATATTCGTAATTTGAGAGCTTACAACAAAGTGACATTCAGCGTTATAGCTCTAGGGTTCCTGTAAATTGACGTTAACGGTGTACGGTCTGGCTTAATTATTTTATTTGTAAAAGCAGCCTAGACCACGATTTCATTAAATTGTTCAATTTAAAAAAGTGCCCACCTGCATAATATGTTTTGCGTGCGGTCAATACGAAATAAAGTGATTGAAATGAACAAAAAACATCTGCAAGATGCATGAGACGAAACAGTTAAGTGTGCCATTACATAAACACGGAGTGACTATTAAAAAAAGATTTTTACCACGGTGGAACGTTTAAGGTGGCTTACCATCTGGTTACGGTGCCTGAGCAATTACCTAAATTCCTACATTCTCTTCCAGTCTATAATCAACTGTGGCCAAAAACCAACTGTTTACGGATCTTTTTACAACGCTTTTGCATATGCTGTACAACAATGTAACTTAATTTGACAGTTCTGTTCACATTTCGTAGAATACAAAAATGTGGGTATCCCATTTCCATGAATGCAGAAAAACCGTAACCAAATATTGTTAAACGAATGTGTATTATGATGACACACTAGTTTGTGGCCACAATCTGCGCCTATTTTTAGCTTTGTGACAAGCATTTCTTCAAAATTGAATACCTACTGGTTTAAGGATTATAGGATATTAGAAGCTAATTTATTCAGCCCCTTTTGGAAAGTTGACGTCATCTCCAATATTGTTTAATAAATCTTTATTGAACATCGTGTAGCTTCAATTTTAATAAATTGGTAGCCAGACGGTTTTTGCTTTTGCGTTGTTATATTTGTGTGGTTGGTGTGGAACGTTATATAATAGTCAGTTACGATGTAAAAGGAAATATTAGAAATAAAACCGTGACCTATGAGATGTTCCAAGTTATTGCTTTTATAACCTTGAAGACAGTTGTGGTTAAAGTAGAACAAGCTCTTTACGGTTTACTACTGCAAAAGTGCTGATTCAACACAATTACGTTCTATTAAAAAGTAAATACAATACAACGTGGTAATTATATAATTTTTTTGTTGTTTGTTCTATTTTCATTTTAATAGTGAATTAAGTTGTCTGTGGCTTAAGTAAATTTGTTTATTTCTGGAGTGTTCGGGCGTGTAATGTCACTTTTTGTTCTGCTATATAAATTGACGTGTAATTGCTACTTAATGTCATATTAAATTTTCCGCATTACTCCAGGCTTTGTAAGCATAAATAAGTAAATATTTTGTAACAATGGACGGATTCGTTAAGTTTTTGTTGACCAAAAGGCTTAATAAAAACACAAAGGAGAAACTGACTATGGTTTTATTTGCTACAACAGTTACATTTTTGGACACTGAACTCAATTTACAACATCATACTGCAGTTTTAAAGCATTATTGAAAACGAATAAATTAAAAACAATTGATGGTTCAAGCTATAACATTAAAAAATGGTTCTGTTCTACAGAAACATCAGTTTTGACTAGATTTGAATTTTTTCTTCCTATTCCACAGAGTAGAAACTTATGAGTAGTTGAGCATTTTACTGATGAATGTATAGTGTGTAAAAGATAAAAAGTGGCAAGAGAAGAGTTTCGTAAAAATGGACAATAGGAAGAGTATTACATATATATAAAAAAGAATACAACAAAATGGACACATTTATCTATGTACACGTTGTGTTATAAAAAATATCAATTATCTTTTGGATTGTGCAAATCGATGAAGCATTAACATGATGATGAATTAACACAGTATTTTGAAGATAATTGAGTTTTTAAATAACAACAACTTATCAATAAGACTAGATAAAAAATGCTGACTAAAATCAATTTTTAACAAAATCGTTATAAAAATATAACACTTCTCTTCTTCAATGACTGATTAATAAACAACTGTAACTTTAAAAACTAAAGCACCTTCATTTAAAACAATGTAAAAATAGTATCAGTCCCCTGGCTCTCAAAACATCATAATAACAAAATCAAACGTGAATTACTAAAAAATATTAGACAAAATTCAACTACCTAAGCGTCATACTCATACACAATTTATGGTCTCTGCGATCACCCCATCCTCCATTACCTTTGCGCAGTTTGGTTTTCTTCAACAATGTCGTGTACGTTAAGGTTAGATAGCTCGGGTACAAATGTCTTTTTGCAGTATTTAAAACTTGTTGAACTTTTGAAATTACAGCCGTCGATTCACAGTTGTTTTTCTTATGGTGTACACCACTGAAACAAATCGTTAGCGGTTCAAATTTCGCGCGCGCGCCAATTTCAAAACGCACCATTCTCCAATATGGAAGACTCTTGGACCTCGTACCACCATCGCATGGAATTTATGTTTCAAACAATTTTGCGAAATATGTTGTAAAGACCAATCCCAATTGTAGTCGTCATATTTGCAAAAATAGTCAGCACAGCCTACTATATCCATCCATGTGGAACGATTAAATGCCATTCCCATATTATGTTTACTGCTGATCCAAGGTGTTATTTCCACCTTAAAATAATGAAAAAAAAAACTTCTGAAACTTGTTGGCACAGATCTGGGGATTGACCGCACATGCTTTAAATTATTCTTTTAAATAAATATGGATGATTTCATCAAATGAATGCTACGGCAACTGCAATAATTTCTATATCGGGGGGAATCATGCGACAATATTGTTTTATCACGTGTTACAAAAGCAACGCTGGGAGATACAAATTACGTCAAAAGGGTTGTAAAGTGTCGGTTTGATGTAATTTGTACTACGGGTACAACACATAGAGCGACATGAAGGCAAGCGAAGCTACCTTCTGTGAGTGCTGATACAGTGAGGGCAGTACTTGAAATGTCCAGGAGGGATGAACTTGACCTGCGCTAATTATAGATTGTTGCTTGATAGCTCGCAAAGCCTCTTTCTGCAATTTACAACGTATTTACAAAATGTGAGTAACAACATTTATAAACACATAAAACAGAAAAATAAACAGATTAGTTGCAGCTGAAGCAGCATTGGTAATTCACAATAAATTTCATCAATTAACACAACGTATGGCGATACAATGAAATGGAACCGTTCGAAAGTTACCTTTTTCGCATCTCCATAGTAGTTGAATGTTTTTAAATAGGTACCCAAGGACAGGATGTTGCAATGTTTGCAAGATTCCTTACAAGTCTTTTCCATCAGTTTAAGAATATAAATAAAGTCCTCCGCCACATAATGGTCTTCTTCCAAAAATACCACTAACCCTGTATGGTTTCGAGTGATTTCCAACTGATTGAAAACTCGATTCGCTTTCCACCACCAGTGGTGCTTCGTTTGAGTGAATTTAGCCTCACGATAATGCCCATACAAGTCTGGGTAGAGCGCATTGTTACATTTTTTTATTAACGCCCTGAAACATACACTTCAGATACCACTTTGTAGCTCCGAAAGTACTTACTGCTCTCGTTTAATATCCCTCGGGCAGTCGTTTGGATCTTCGCCAGGAAATTCATGTGGATGCGTTTGTATCGAATACGGATAAAATATCTGTATGACTTTACAAAAATCAACGCTTTGTACTAAGTTGTTTATTTCCTCGTCGTAATAATCATGGGAAAAAACGAGCAGAGCTTGGGAAATGCCACGAGCTTGGGCCAAACTCACAATGAGATGCCGGAGATAAGTTATGCGATCGTGAATCTGGAAAATCGTTGAAAATTGTGAATAACTTTCCTGTGTTAATATTAAACGAGAACATTAAAAATTCATCGGGGAACATAATTTCTTGGTAAATTTGCCGAAATTGCCCGAAACTTACTCCTTTAACTTCGCAATTTTATGACAAGTCAATAAATAATGGATAACGGAAAGTAATGAATATTCCAACAATCTGAAACTTCGTTCCTTTGAAAAGTCTCGAAATACAGTTAATAGGACTCAAACCCTATAAAGTGAACTTACATCGGATTGGTGGATTAGTGCGCCGCAGTTTACATATGCCCCAATCAGTATCAAGTTAAGCAACTAGAGCGTGATTTTCCAAATTAGAACGATTTTTTCAAAGTGTAACAACAAACAACGGAAGTAATTCCAATAACTTCGAAAATGATTGGTTTAAAATAAAGTTTGATTTGAAAGTCAAATATTTGTGCGTTGGTCGAATGCGGTCAAAAATGTCCCGCTGTTAATAATTCATAAAAGTCAGTGCATGTGCAGTTGTATATAAAATTTAAATTACACTGGAAATTAATGTTTACAAGAGGAAACTGACCTCAATTGCTATCAGGTTTCGGTAAATTACTTTCATTAAACATTTAACGACCAGGTTTCGTATGAATTATAGCGTTTAATTAATAAAAACCGAAAGCTAAAAGTCATTTGGAAAACCACCCGAATGATCCCACCCGAAACCGACGCCAAATTAGGAAATTAGTCCATGAGGTTCGTACATTAAGCTAACAACTTGGGACGTCAAATATTTGGTCGTAATTAGTTATAATTAATCCGGGATAAATATTTACAAGCGAAGTACGGTTAATCGAGGGCTTCAAACAAATTAGCAACACAATCATACCTGTATGACTATAACCACTGAGTCGTTTTGCAGAGGACCAAAAGTCTCTTCGTTGTAAACAGTTTGTTGTAGATTGTATTGTGCGATGTTTCGTTTAATATCCGATATATTGAGTGTCATTTTACTGTAGGCCACGTTGGCACCAGCGGTGCCATTTAGACCCGAGTTGTTCGTCATATTCTTAGGCCTTGGCGTTAGGAACTTATGCAGAACGGCTGGCACCATGCTAAGTATGGCAGCATTGGAATCGTTTACTTCTGAATTTGAATCGTTTGAACCACGGTAACTTAAAAAATTTATCTGAAGTGATATAAAAATTATTAAGAAGATTATTAAGCCGGTCCGTAGCCATGTGTTTCCTCCTCGGCGACGCCCTATGAGGCCACGCCCGCTGCTCATGGTATTGCATACCAGCTTGACAAAGCCCTGAAAAAAAAAACACACTTTACTATAGCAATAATTAACTAAATTTAGAACTATTAGGTATATGGGACGCCCATGAACATGAATCATGCACGAGTCGGCAGTGTTGTGGAAACGGAAACGCTCGGGAAACAAGATATTCGCGTATAGCGTTTCAAAATGACGCAGTCGTGTCCTTTGTTATCAAATATCCATTAAGAAAAATTAATTTTGTTGAAGGAAATAAAATTGACATTATGTCGTGGATTAAAAATAAATGAAATCAATGTGAAATGAAGTTAAAACCAACAAACGTGGCTTGTTATTCTCCTAGCAACATGAATGATCTCCAAGAAGGATGGCAGAAAACTACCAAGTGGTTTGAAAATTATAAATCGGGCGAAACGGAAAATTAAAGAACAGAGGGAACAAACAAAAAGTGAACATCGCTAGTCAACCAATTACGCGAGAATATTAAAATCCTAATTGTTATTACGGAGAAGGGGGAAAGAACTGGAGTGTTAAAAGAGGTTTGATCAATAACGCATTTTAATGAAGGAGATTGAAGGGTTTCGTACATTTTAACGATCTCGAAGGAATGCAGACTTTGATTATTTTACGCAAAAGAGAGAAAAAACACCAACTTACACGAAGCATATGACACTAACTACAAAATTCCTGCTACTACTAAATATATAAAGACGAAACTATCGCATGTACAGAATATGCTTTATCAAGGTAGTATATTTAACAAAACGGAACAGATAACAAGCAATTTTAACATTAAACTATATTAAAGACCCCATGTTATAACGTATTGATAAATTTACCATTATCCATTAAGAACGACCATGTTCGTCCTAACGAAGTACCATAAAACGTCAAACCCCAAGGAAAACGACACAGCAAGGTGGTGGGTATTTTATTACCCTTTAGATTATATTGTTTGCAACAATGGAATAGTATTTTATAGGTCATTAAAAATATGCTAATAAAACCTTTAATGAGTTGGATAACTTCGTCCATATAGTGTTAGTAATTTTGCTAAGTCGTGCAACAATACTTTTAAAAGATAAAAAACAACGAATGTAGTAATCCGTTATGTAAATATCAACTTTTTATATTAACCACAAACAAGTTAGCAATCAAGGTTTTCAAAAAAGTTCAGTTTTATTGTTACAATTCAAATTTGCCGCCAAATTTTTTTAAATTATAATTAATTACAGCTTTATCCAACTTATTCAGAATGTGTATGACCTCCGTAAATGTTAATTTAACAGTTTACTATTACACAACACAAACAAACAATTTAAGTTAAGTGTTACCATTTATTCATATGAATTAATTAAGCAGTCGAAAGTGCAATTCTTCGTATAAAATTCCTAAAATAAGGTTACAGTTTCGGTTTATTATTTCTTTTTTCTAAAAATGCGAAGACATTATTGTAAGTCAGGTTTAAATTTGACATTTCCAAGACTATAGAAACGAATATGCAGTTACCAGGCGGGAAATTCAAATTCATTTAGTACGGTTGTAACTTTCATCAGTTATTTACTAAAAATGACAAGGAGTTAACTGTCGGTTCTTTTCAACATCAACTAACACAATGCACGACCCACGACAACGTTAACACTCATATCATAGTCTTGCCAAAGAAATAAATATAACTCGATTTGTAGAGCTGGCGGTGTTGCCAAATTTTTAAAGTTACAAGGTGCGATCCACATATTGTAGATATTTTTAGCGAAAAGTGACACCAGCGCCAACGGTCAAGACCCAAACTAAAATTAGTATATAGAATGCATTGAGGTTAAGACTCCTCTACAAATGAAAGAATTTTATTGTTGTAACGAAAAATGTTGTCGCTGTAACCGGTTAGAACGTTCGTTGTTCCAGTTTTTGCGTGCATGAGTATATTAGTGTACATCTCGGTTTCAGGTTGGAGCGGAGTGGGAGGTCGCCGCTGGCTGTTTTAAATAAGTCCATACTTTTGCGAAACACTGTATCTGTGTGTTAGCATTGTAGCTTTGCCAAACTTTAATTTTCTACCTAAAATCTGTCCCGAAATTAAATGAAATTGTTCTGCAAATCCCATGATAACTGGAGTTGGGGTTTAACATCCACCTCACTTTAAGGCAAGGTTTTTGTAATCCTATTTCTGAAGTTACGGGTGTATTACTTCACGTTTATTAGATTCGGGTTCTTGTCAGCTGAAACAGAATCCCGCTAACAAAGAAAATTCTTGCTTGATGATCTAATCGCACGTAAAAATTAACTGTACTTAAACCGATGCTCGTCTTCACATGGCAAAAATTGGATGACATCCAAAATCAATTACTCAAAAGTACAACATTACAAGTATTCTGTGTCGGTGAAGTGGGAGCGGTAGATTTTCCACCTTTGTTTTAATTTCCTCGCGATTTTTTCCTTCATCGATTTTTTTATTAACAACGCTAAATTCAATTAGGTCAAGCCAACACCGTGTTCTAATCTAAGAAAGCGGCAGTGATGGTGTATCGCGAAGATACAAAAAGCGGCATTTTAATGCTATAGTCGGACGTTTATAATTTGCATGTACATCGTTTGAAAATTCGTTTATCGCGAAGGCTACTTCAAGGGTGAGGGTTTTTATTCCACATGCAACATTCAAATTACTTTATTAAAAAGGAGGTCTTTTTCTGCATAGAATCAATGCCATCATTTTGGAGAAATTGGAAAATTGGATCTTCTCCAAAACTGCCACTGTGAAATACGACGTGTCAAATATTCTTTGCCAAAGATCATCCAGTTATTTCCGGGATAATTTTTGCAAGCACAATTATTAAGACTCAAATCAAGCACAATCCTGCTTTTGGTAGTGCGCATCGTGTTGTAAATCTTAATCGAGTTTTCGAGTAATTAACCATACAAATTGTACGTGACGCTTCACTGATATTCTCCATCACATTTAATTCTCCATATTGGTTAACGAAGTGATTAATTTTCTAATAGGCTTGGGCCAACCAGCTCCAGGTCTCTTTCAAATTTAAGCGTAAATACAGACGAATGCACGATTTTCGTCGGGTCATTAAATCAACAATCCCAAGAACATTTGTTTCAAACGTAAAATATGATTATATTTTATTCGGGAAAAAGGCGTCTAAAACGATAATTTGATCTCCAAAATCACAACAAAGCTTCATGAGCTGGTTTAATTTACGCTTCCGGATGAAAGAACTCTCATTTGTGTATTTAACTACGCAATTTATTTCTAGATGGTTTTTTATTATTCAGCAAATTTTTATACATTTTTTACTACGATTCAATACATCGCAATCGCTCTATTTGTATACAATGCAACTTATCGCTAAACTCAGCTTTTATCGCACCTTGACATCTCCACTAACTAATAAAGAAACTATTGTTTGTTCGATAAAATCTAAGATATCCTCCAGCTTTGATACAACTTTAATAATAGTACACAAAACTGTGAAATCTTTAAAACAATTTGCAAAGTTTCAAGGATGTAGATAAAAGAGACAAACAAGATAAAAATGCATTAAAACGATATATGCTATGTCCATCAAACACACAAAAGGCTTTCAATTTGTTTGTATCAAATGGTGAATGGTATGCATCCTCAGCCAAAAATTACTTATTCCAAAATCGGATTCATAACGTATTGACATGTTCATTTACTCAATAAATTTTATCTTATTTCCTATATTTTCCCGTTGCTTAGTGTGAAAGTAAATATATACATGGTAAAGTGAATAAATGCGTTATTATTATTATTAACTAGTGTCAAATAATGTTTATTACGCGTCTATTTACGAATAAGCATATGCCAGGGGCGAGATGAAGATGAGTCAAGCGGAGGGGAATTGAAACTAGGGCCAGGGAGAAAATACCGATGGGTTTTCGGAGTATCGTTATATATTATTGTCTTCGTAAACATTAAAACAACAACAATAAAAAAAACTAATGGAATAATTCTCCACCTGACCGTACTTTCCACTACGTTTCGCATAACTCATCTTCATCTCGCTATGCGGATGTTTATTCGGGTAATAAACATTATCTGACAGAAGTTCATACTTTCATCGTAATCCTGTAGCGGCTTTAAAAGTTAGGTCTGGTAGTTTAGATTTCCCCGACTATAACAGGCGTATAGTTTTTGAGAACTATTCAACTTACAAATAAACTTGGCTTTAACCGCATGGTGCTATCTCAGCTAATAGGGGAGCTATTGGTCGGAAAGAAAATTGGCTTTTCCCAATAGTTCGCAGCCGGTGTGAATTGATAACAAATTGTTTGCGTTGGTGATCCCCTGTAGCCAGTACATCATTTTGTGATGTAGGGTGTACTTGGGATTTAGGAAGTTTGTCAAAATTTTAGTATCGATCTTCTTGCTTATTAATTAACAAGAGAGGTGTGGTTTTCGGCTGAAATTCCTGACACTGAACAACATTCCGACTCCCATATCTACCGTCGCATGAGGAATGAGTTTTAGAATCACATTAAATTATGAATATGTAGCTTGTTTGAGTGTCTCGCATATGCTTATGGTAAAATATACGTAACCACTCGAAAGTTCAGTCGTAATTCGGTGTTCTGAGTAGGAAGTCAATTAGTAAAGTTACTTCTGTGATTAGTTGGTGTAAACCCCGCCCACTTACCCCCTCCCTCGTGTCAGGTTTCTTATTGCGAATGTCAACGAAAATTTGAATCTGACGTTATTGATGTTGCGTAACGTAGGAAATGTGAACCGAGCTGGAATTCTTCATATATCATAAGGTAGGGCCGTGTATCGGCAAGCTCAAAAATTCCTCCGACGATCCTGCAGGCTCGCTGCAGAGGATATTACGTGTGCGTAACTACGTAACTTTAAAACTTTCAGCAATTCACGTTTTTAAACTCGACGAATTATAGAAAAGTGGAGCGATAAAGTGGATACGAAGTTATCACAAACTTCCCGATTTATATGTCATATACCCCGACGACACGGCGTTAAAAGTTGGATTTTCGGAAAACTTCTTCCAACA